ATTTTAATAATTTAATTTTTAAAGTATTTAAATTTAACTAGTTATTTTTATAAAAATGTTATTTAATATATTTATTTGAGTAAAGATTTATTTATATATAATTTTTATATACTACATTTATACAAAATCTCAAAAATTCATCTCTAAATTTTTCATAGTTAAAATTTATTCACATTTATTAAAAATAATTATTTTTTCATCTAAAAAATCTTGATAAATCTTAATTATTAAAAAAAAATATAAATAGTTGAGATTTTATGTAAATATAATATGTAATATTTAAGTGTAAATGAATCTCTCCTCTATTTATTTTTATTTTACTATTATTTTAGAAAAATAATTACAACATATATTCCTTCTATTCAATTTTTATGTAATTAAGTAATTAACCCAATTTTTTTTTTGGTTATTTAAAGAATTAATTGTATAATAACATAAAAATTTAAATATCTAACTTTGACATTAAATCAATATTTTTAAATTAATGAATACAAATTTGGCCAAGCTCTTGTTAGTCTCAGTTTTTTGTTTAATAAAATATAGGTGTAATAATTATTGATAAGATTTTATTTTTATCTTAATTAATTAATTTAAATTTAATTAATTAATAAAATTGTTTCATTTAGGATTTAATTTAGTTGTTTAAAATAAGGTTGTTTTCCCTTTTCTTTTCCTCTATTTCTATTAAACTAAACAAACTCTAAAGGAAAAGAAAAAAAAGTAAGAAAACCTTAAAAAAATATTAATTACAACTAAAGAGTTATTGAATACTAAAAGAGTGATGGAACTAATTAAAAAATTAAAATTTTAAGTTAAATATTTTAAGTTTAAACATATGGTAAGATGGGATTAAAAAATATTCTTTTTATAGAGCTTATTATTAAATTTTTTTTATTTAAAAACGAAAAAAACGACTAAGGTGGTGTTGAGATTTGAGAATGGGAAGTGGGCTCATGCATTTTATTTTATTTTATTTTATTTTGGTACATGGCTCATGCATTTTATTAATGTTTATTATTGCTGTTTTTTATTTGGTGTATTCTTTGTAAGTGTTTCCACGTGCGTGCCATGTGCACCACCCCATGTGTATGTCATTATCCACCGTCACTATAATTAATATAATAAAATTTTCTTTTAATATCGTTCGTTCGTGTATGTTTAATTTTTTTTAAAAGTACTATATCTTTGAATCCAAGAGGTAGTTGTTTTTAAATAATTTAGTAGTTATTTTTTTATTAAAAGTAAGAAATTTTAAATTTAAATGGCATAACATGTGAATAAAGTAAAATAAAAAGTAATTATTTTTTATTACGTAATTAAAATAAAAAAATGTGATTGTGAGGAATGATTTAATTAAAATTTTTATTTTATTCTTTCTAAGAAAAAAAAAAGTTATTAGATATATAAAAAATAAAGAAATATGGAGAAAAGAGAATTCAATTTAATTGGAGTAGAGGGTCCCACCACCATCACCATAATTAGCTGAATTTAAAATTTCCAAGAAAACACCTCCACAACTTTCTCCAATTTTTGCCCACCGAATCCAGCAGCATACAACCTTCGAATGTCCACCTCACATACCCATTAATTCCAGCTTAACCCTTTTCTTAATCTCAAATCTTTCATCTAATTCCATTCTTAATACTACCCACCAACTTTTACCAAAACACCCTTTAAAACGTAACCAATTTTCCAACCGAAATTTCGCCATCTGCCCTTTCAGCCAAGCTAAAGTTAATAACTAAAGCCAACAGCCCGTCATTGACTGGGCTTTTGTGGTCCCCATCCTACCGGATTTCAAAATCAAATTTAAAACTGATTAATAGAAAAGCAAAAATAAACTTGGAATCCTATAATTTCAATATTACATAAAATTATAAATTTAAACATAATTTGAGAGTATTTTAATGTTATTGTATGTTTTTAGAATTTTAACATATTATAAAATATATAAAAAAGTATATATTAATCTTAATTTTTAAAATAAATTAAAATTGTAATTATAAATTACATCATTTTATTTAATTATAATTTAATTCAAA